AGACTGTTGAGGGTTCAGCCTCCTGATGAGTCGGTGAAACTCCGACGAAACAGTTTGTCACAGCCCCTCGTTTGTTGTCCTCTTCTCTCTCTGTGCTTACGGTTTACCGGGCAGTTCTGTTTGTGACGAGAGTCGGTGAAACTCCGACGAAACAGTTTGCCACAGCCCCTCGTTTGTTGTCCTCTTCTCTCTCTCTGCCTACGGTTTACCGGGCAGTTCTGTTTGTGACGATATATATCGTTACAAAAATGTCAGAGCGCAAAAGGCAAAAAATGTCGGACTCTCATCAGCCTGCTGCGGCATCTAAGGCCGAGGAATTCTTTCCCTTTTTTTTTTTTTTTCCCTTTAAGCCGAGGATTTCAGGTCTACTTCTTGCTTACGACCGTCAGAAAAGAATTAAAAAAAAAAGAATAAAAAAAGAAAGAATGAAAGAAAGGACCATCATCAGTATGGATCATACATGAATAATTGATCATTTTTATTGCCACGTGGCTAATTCTAGTGTTCGTTGCAGTTATTTCTTTTTCCGCTTTGCAAGTGGAAGGTCGCCACGTCGATCGTCCCGACCCCCTGGGCCGAGGTCCCACTAGCAAAGAGGATCGGATCGAATGCAGAGATGCAGAAAAGCAGTTCAATCTCGATTTCCTGCACATCTCCATAACCTCGTCCAGATTCAGCCATTCGATGTGATCCTCTTTGCCAGTGGGATCACGCCCCTGGATGTATATGATTCGAATCATGGCATGCATGTATGATGATCATTTTCATTGCCACGTGGCTAATTATAGTTCCGCTTTGCAGTGCAGGTATGATGACAGTTCCGCTTTGCAAGCGCAAGGTCTCGAATTCGATTCTTCCACCCCCACCCTGGTCTGCAGTTTTCTTCATAACTGATAACTGTCCCCTGTGCAGTGTCCTCCACGGAGGAGGAGGAGGAGGAGGAGGAGGTTTTATAGCTTTTCGCACTTTGGATGTTTTATTTATTTATGTTTTTTTTTTTTTAGTCCCGTTCATGCTGCATTTCTCGCTCCTGCTCTTTTGCTTCCTTCAGAGTCTGTCCGCTCAGATCTGAGGGGATGTACTGTGAAACTAGAAACATAGGATGCACATGGAAAGGCACCAGACTAAAAAAAAAAAAAAAAAAAAAAAAAAAAAAAAAAAAAAAAAAAAAAAAAACAAAACAAAAAAAAAACAAAAAAAACGGACAAGCCAACCATGTCTCTGTACAATCTCACGTCCAGAATCTTTGTATAGAAAAATTTGGACCATTTCTCGATTTATGCGTGTCAGCCTTGAAAGCGCAGGGGCCATGCTAATAATCTTCTCTTTCTCTTTGTCTCGTTCCAATCCTTTTAACGGATGTCCCGAAGGACCCCACTTTGGATTTGACGTATGATCTTGTGGATGATCTTCTGTCAGTTCCAGGTCAGTATCGCTCTGCCGCCTCGTGGCAGGGAATGCTAGACGGATAATTATTCTGCTGTAAAATATTAAAAAAATCCGCTGTGTTCTGTTGAGTGATAATCAGGCAAAGAATTACGTTGAGTGGGCCCAGATCGGACGGTCATCGCCTTGGTATTCTTTTTAAGAAAAGTGGGCACCATGTCCCTTCTTTTGATTTATTTACTTATTTGTTTATTTTAATTATTTATTTATTTATTTATTTATTTTCACTGGCCGTCATTTCTTACTCCGCCCCGGTATGGACAGGAAAGAGCAGAAATGCAAACGGTGAAATCTGACGCAAAAATTTAAAAAGAAAAAGAATTAAGTAAGAAGAAGACGTTTCCCAGAATATATAGAATCGATCAGGTAAGGAACCACTAGCGCAGAAAATTGGATTGAACGCCTGAATCTCGACGCTTTCGTGGAAAGATGCAGAAAGTCGAGATTGAAATGCTTTTCTGCATCTTTGCTTAAACACAACGTCCAGATTCAGGAGCTTAAATCCCATCCTCTTTACTAGTGGGACCTCGCCCCAGGTAAGGAACCACATGACTGAAGTAGCCCAAATTAAATTGTCATTTGTCCATTTTGTGTGTTTCTGTCTTGGGGCCCGGGGCGGGTGAGGAGGGGGATGGAGGGCGCGTCCGTTGACATGCGTGCGTGCACACACACACACACACACACACACACACACACACACAGAAGAGGAAGTACTATTGTATCATGGTCCTGGATAATGGAGGTAGCCGGGCCAGCAGGTATGCGTTAGTGGCCAGAGGGAAAAGTCGCTATAGCATCTCCTTGTACATTGCGTCCGTATTTCTTGACGCGCGTTCAGTGCCCGAACTGTCGTTCAACCACTTCACGCGTGCGAATGTGCACCTCCCCTTCTCCTCCTCCTCCTCCTCTCCTTCTTCTTTTGTGTGTGTGCGTGTGTGTGTGTGTGTGTCTTTGTCTTTGTGTGTGTGTGTGTGTGTGTGTGCGCGCGCACATGCACCCGTTAGCGCGACGCACGTCACTGTTGCATGGTTGTCAGAAAAATTATCTTTCCGAAAAACATCGATCTTAGTGGACTGTACTCGACAGTTTTTCGGGCAATCGACTTGATGGCATATGCATATGAGTCAGAGAAACTCCGACGAAAACAGCCTGTCACAGCCCCGAAACGAGAGGCTGGGACACACTGTTTCATCCGAGATTGACTGAGGAGGAGAGATCATGTATCTGTCAACCGTGCAACATACACGTGCGTCGCGCTAGCGGGTGCATGTGCGCTTCCACACACACACAGAGAGAGAGAGAGAGAGAGAGAGAGAGAGAGAGAGAGAGAGAGAGAGAGAGAGAGTGGCGCAGCAGCTGCGTGCATCGGTGTGTGACGATTATCGCGGCGTAGATGTGAGGAGCAATGGGAAGAATGCACGCGCCGTTAAGGAGGGGGACTGTGCGCAATGCGCGTGTAGAGTAGATGTGAGAAGCAATGTGCGGAGTAGGCGAGACGTTATGGAGGGGGAATGTGCGCAACGAGTGTGGTGTTATGGGACCAGTGTGAGCCGCGGCACTGGCTACCGTCTTCCCCCGAATACACCGTACGGTCATTATAGCTGTCTTTCGGTCTAAATTCAGCTATAATGACCGTACGTTGTATTCGGGGGAGAGTGTCCATGTCAGTGGTCTATAGAGGAGATGTGAACGGCAATGTGCGCAATGTGCGCGCTGTTATGGGGACCATGTGCGCGCATGGTCCCATAACCAGCTTCCAGGAGTCACTGGTAGGCCCTAAGGTAGGAAACTGCACAAGGGTTCAGAAGTCGTATGGTCAGTCCTTTTCGCCCACAGACGACAGCAGATCTCACACATCCACAGGCTCAGAATCTGCCTTTTTTTTCCCGGAAGCCTCCACCGCCATCTATCGTCTTCTCCTGAATTCTGGTTGACAGTGTATCTGGACTGAAAGTTCCCCCAGTTACAACTATCATGACCAGGTACAGCTGTTTGGGTGCTGACGGTCAGTCAAGGCATGTTGCGAACCAAGCGGAAGCCCTGCCAGTGCGTCTTGTGTGAGGTGGTCTGCAGACGCCCGAAGCTGAAGTGGGCTGCGAGAGAGGTAGAGCAGCCATAGCTGCTAGTAGTGCTAGGGTTAGCGAGCAGCCATAGCTGCGTCAGGTTAGAGTAGTCTTCAGGGTGTGTGAATATGAGTGTGCAGTGAGAGTGAATGTGCGTGGGTTATCCAGGGAGATCCAGTGAAGTGTGCGTGTGGACAAATTGAGGGGATACAGTGTTGCGAGGGGTGATGTAAGGGTGCACAGGAGTTATAGTTGCTTGAAGCGAGCTTGTATCTGAATTGTGTTTGCGTCTATAATATCTCTGAGCTTTGGGTGGGCGCCTGGCGCCAGAGTGATTTGCCATCTGTTTACATGCAGGCGAAGTAAGAAGAAAGTGAGTCTGATTGCATATGAAAGGAGTTTTGTCTTTACCCTAGCTTCTTGATTTTGTCAAAGTTCAGTCCTTTTTTTTTCTGGTTGTCCTCCTTCCCTCTTCCTGCTCTCGTGCTTAGCCTACTCTCCTCCTCCTCCTCTCCTCCTCCTCCTCCTCTTGCTCTCCCGCTCTCCCTCCTCCTCCTCCTCCTCCTCCTCCTCCTCCTCTTGCTCTCCCACTCTTCGTCCTTTACTAATGTTTTGACGAAGACGACTCTTGAAGTTCTTTGCTTTTTCCTTTTCGTTTGTTTTTTTTATGTGCTTTTTCCTTTCTTTCTGCTGCTTATGCTATACTTGTTCTCCTACTTCCACCCTATTTTGAGAAAGAGCATCCAAACTTTCGCGCTTCCTTCCTCTCTTCCTTCTGCAAATGACTAATCAGCTGCTACTGCAACAACTGTAATTAAATTATACGTCTAGAATCTAAGACCCAAAATTTAAAACTTAATAGTCTTTCATTGGTTCTTTTCCTTAACTGTTTTGATTCAATAAAAAATTGAATTCAAGCTTTTTTATGATAATGAAAATAAAGAAAAAAAATGAATCAAGACATCTATCAATATTTATGGAGATTCTCTATATTCTCTATATATAATCTGCTAATTAGTAATCTAATAATACAATATATGATATARAACACTATGAATATACTATAATATAATTCTATTGTTGTAGCGGACCTCGGGTTGGCCTGTGAGACCAGCCCCT